TTTCCATGATTTAACTCCACTTCTCAAAATGTTTTTAATACCTTTCTGCTCTAATGAATTTGTTTAGCCACAATATTCCTCTGCCAAATTTCCTAGCTTTTGAGAGATTCATTTCAGCTGTTATCATTCCTTGGCCAGAAAAATTACTTCTCACTTGACAAATCATAACCTCCCTTTTTATACATAAACTCAATTAACCCGTCTCAACAATTTCCCTTTTGAAAGTATACTCTAGAATGTTAATATGTGTTTAACAAATCTGTAACTGTCCTCCAAGTTCATGTTTTCACATTCTAAATATTTCTTCCTATGTCAATCTCTAATTATTTCTAGACATTTTCATGGAATCTTAAACAGCAAAACTAGAAGGAAACTTAATAGGTCACCTGAGTTCATCTCCAACCTGAAACATTTATTCACACATTCAGCAAACATTTATTGAGTACCAGTGTGTTAGGTCCTGGTGTCCAAAGATAAATAAAACAAAAATCTTAGCTCTGAAAAAAACTCAATCTAGTGGGAGACAGATATAAACAAATAAATTACAATACAGTCTGGGAAGTGCTATAGCAGAATGATGAACACAGGGCAGTAAGAACCCAGAAAAAAAGAGTGACCAAAAATGCTTTGTAACTCACAAAACAATTTCACAATCCATTAGTTCATTTACTTCTCTAAACGCCTCTGTGACATAGGCATTACAGGCAAGGAAATGGACAATCAGAAATGTTATAGGACATTCCCAAAGTCACTCACCTAATATTGAGTGCTGAAATTCAAACTTTCTTCTTTCTATTTTAAAGTTTCAGTGCATACCCATCAAACTCTGCTGCCCCTTCCCTTCCCTACCTACCACTTAGGGGGTTACATGGAGGAAAAGTACATTGTTTAATAAACTTTACTGTCTCCACATTCTTTTAGGGAATATATATGTTCATTAATCGTTTCTCCATCTATAAGTTGGTGCAAAAGTAATTGCGATTTTGTAGTTGAAAGGAATTGCAAAAACCACAATTACTTTTGCACCAACCTAATAAATCCAAATCCATTTGTATGCTGTGAGGCACTGAAATTCTCTTTCAGTCTACCACATTTTGAGAAATAAGAATCCCAGTATCTTCTGACTCTCTCTCCTATTCACCTGAGAAAGTCCATAAACTACTTAAGGGAAGTGTATCATGCTTGGTTTATTGCTTTAAAATGGCATTCAGATCTACTAACAGAACTAGGAAATTCAATCTGTTTTGCATTTTTAAATTATTCACGTTATTCAGTGATACAGTAAACATTTACTGAGCACTTACTCCATTATAAGGCACTGAGTTACACACTGTGAAAAATACTGAGATGAAGAAGACATATTATTCACCCTCGTGAGTTTTAAAATATAGAATGAGAGATAAGACATATTACAAATAACTACAATCTAAGGAAGACTGTGATAAGTGTTGTAATAGTGATAATAGACACTGTACAAGTTAAGAGCATGGAAGTGGTGGTATTTGAGAATGAAAAAAAAATTGTCATAGGGAAATTGGAAAGAAGAAATTACAAATAGGCCAGGCGCCATGGCTCACACCTGTAATCCCAGCACTTTGGGAGGCCGAGGCGAGTGGATCACTTGAGGTCAGGAGTTTGAGACCAGCCTGGCCAACATGGTGAAACCTTGTCTCTACTAAAAATACAAAAATTAGCAGGGCATGGTGGCGAACGCCTGTAATCCCAGCTACTCAGAATACCGAGGCATGAGAATCGCTTGAACCCAGGAGCCGGAGGTTGCAGTGAACTGAGATCACGCCACTGCACTCCAGCCTGGGCAACAGAGTGGGACTCTGTGAAAAAGAAAAGAAAACAAAACAAACAAAAAAACAACGAAATTACAAATAGATGGAACATCATGAGCAAAGCACGATGGTAAAATAAAATAGTAACTAATAACCACAGCTACCATTTATGGAGTACTTATTCTGTGTTAGGCACTGTTCTAAATGCTTTACATACATTATCCCACTTAATCCTTGAAGCAACCATACAAGGTAAATAATATCATTATATCCATACTGCAGATGAGGACATCTAAGTTTAGAGAAGTTAAAGAACTTGCCCAAAGTTCCATGATTAGCAAACATTATTTGTTTGAAACTCCTTTGTTGCATATCTAATTTCAAAGACAACTGCATAATGCAATAATTATACATCCATATTGATGGACATGTGAAGTATAAAGGTATCATTTGTATGACAATAACAGCACAAAGGAGGGGGAGGGAAAGGAGCTGTAGAGGAGCAAAGCTTTTGTATAATATTGAAATCAAGTTGGTATTAATATGAGCTACATTGTTATAAATTAAGATATTAGCAATCCATAAAACAACCACTAAGAAAATAACTAAAAAGAAAAATAGTAAAAGAAATGACAAGGGAATAAAAATGGTACACTAGAAAATACCTACTTAACACAAAAAAAGGCAGTAATGAAGGAATAAAGGAACAGAAAAGACATAAAATATATAGAAAAAATAACAAAATGACAGATGTAAATTCTACTTTATTGATAACTACATTAAATGTAAATTGATGAAATAACTACATTAAATGTAAATTGATAAAAATTAAAAAGAGATTGGAAAAAGTGTTCAAAAAATTATCCAAATATATGATGTCTACAAGAGGTATAATTTTGATTCAAAGGCACAAATTAAGTTGAAAGTAAAAGTATACAATGTGTTTGTGTGTGTGTGTGTGTGTGTGTGTGTGTGTGTGTGTAGCAAACAGTAACCAAAAGAGAGCTGGAGTAACTACACTTTTATCAGGTAAAATAGACTTAAAGACAAAAAGTGTTATGAGAGATAAAGGACATTCTGTGACAATGTAAAAGTCAATACATCAAGAATAAATAGCAGCCGGGTGCGGTTGCTCACGCCTGTAATCCCAGCACTTTGGGAGGCCAAGGCAGGTGGATCACAAGGTCAGGAGATCGAGACCATCCTGGCTAACATGGTGAAACCCTGTCTCTACTAAAAATACAAAAAAAAATTAGCCAGGTGTGGTGGCAGGTGCCTGTAGTCCCAGCTACTTGGGAGGCTGAGGCAGGAGAATGGTGGGAACCCGGGAGGTGGAGCTTGCAGTGAGCCAAGATCGTGCCACTGCACTCCAGCCTGGGCAACTGAGCGAGACTCCGTCTCAGAAAAAAAAAAAAAAAAAGTAGCAATTATAAACATATATGTACCTAACCACAGAGCCCCCAAATTATAAGAAGCAAAACCTGACAGAATTGAAGGAAGAAATAGACAACAATAATAGTTGGCAACTTCAGTACCCCACTTTCAATAATGGATACAACAACTAGATAGAAGATCAACAAGAGAATGAAAGACTTAAACAGCACTACGAACCTACTAGATCTAACAGACATCTACAGAACACTCCACCAAACAAGAGCAGAATATACATTCTGCTCAAGTATATATGGAACATTCTCCAGGGTAGACCACATGCTTGGCCACAAAAAAGTCCCAATAAATTGAAAAGAACTGAAATCATACAAAGTATAATGTCATTGAAATAAATTAAACAAGGCCAAACAAATGGAAAGAGATCCTGTGTGCATGAACTAGAAGACTTAATATTGCTAAGACGGCAATATTTCCCAAATTAATCCACAGATTCCATGCGATACCTATCAAAATCACAGCTGGCTTTTTTGTTTTATTCTGTTTGGATTTTATTTTTTGAGATGGGGTCTTGTTGTTTTGCCCAGGCTTGCCTTGAACTTCCTGGGCTCAAGGGATTCTCCTGCCTCAGCCTTCTATGTAGCTGGGACTACAGGCACGTACCACTGCACCCAGCTTACAGTTGACTTTCTGAAGAAATTGAAAAGTTCTTCCTAAAATATATATGAAAATGCAAACATCTAGCCAAAACAATCTTGAAAAAGAAGAATGTTGGAGAACTCACACTTCCTAATTTGAAAATGTAATACAAAGCCACAGTAATCAAGATGTTTTGGTACTGGCATAAGGATTAACATATAAGTATAGGCCAATAAAATAGGATTGAGAGTCCAGAAAGAAATCCATAGATTTATGACCATTTGATTTTCACCAAGGAACTCCAGACAATTAAATAGGGGAAGAATAGTTTTTTCAACGAATGGTGGCAAGACAAACTGGATATCCACATGCAAAGAATGAAATTAGACTCCTATCTTGTGCCATATACAAAATTTAAATTGAAATGTATCAAAGACTTAAATTTAAGACGTAAAAATATAAACTGTAAAACATAGAAATAAATTTTAGTGACCTTAGATTAGGCAATGGTTTCTTAAATGTGACACGAAAACCACAAGCAACCAAAGACAGACTTTATCAAAACTTAAATTTTGTGCTTCAAAGAACTCAATCAAGAAACAGGCCGGGCGCAGTGGCTCACATCTGTAATCCCAGCATTTTGGGAGGCCAAGGAGGGTGGATCACAAGGTCAGGAGATCGAGATTATCCGGGCTAACACGGTGAAACCCCGTCTCTACTAAAAATACAAAAAAAAAAAAAAAAAAAAAAAATTAGCCGGGCGTGGTGGCAGGTGCCTGTAGTCCCAGCTACTCGGGAGGCTGAGGCAGGAGAATGGCGTGAACCCAAGAGGTGGAGCTTGCAGTTAGCGGAGATGGCGCCACTGCACTCCAGCCTGGGCGAGATTGCGAGACTCAGTCTCAAAAAAAAATAAAAAAAGAAAGAAAGAAAGAAACTGAGAAGACAGTCCATGGGATGGATAAAAACATTTGCAAGTCACATAACTGATAAGGATTTAGAATCTAGAATATATTTTAAAAACTCTTAAAACTCAACAATAAAAAGAAAAATAATCCAATGTTAAAATGGGCATTTTAATAGACATACTTCCAAAGAAGATATGCAAATGGTCAATAAGCTCATGAAAAGATGCTCAATATCATTAGTCATCAGGGAAATGCAAATTAAAACTATAAAATAGGTGGTGCACCCTGGCATAGGGAGCGATCTCTGAGCGAGAAGGCAAGATGCATGTGGGATTCTTCCCCAATCAAGTGGAGAACAGAATAATCAGTTCTGCAACAGACAGAAGAAACTACTGAAGCAGCTGAAATTTGCAGAATGCCTAGAAAAAAAGGGGGACACGAGCAAAGTAAATTTGGAAGTTATAAAGCCTTGGATAACAAAAAGAGTAATGGAAATCCTTGGGATGAAGATGATGTTGTGATTGAGTTTATATTCAACCAGTTGTAAGTGAAGAACCCAGACTCCAAAATGATGCAAATCAACCTGACTGGATTTTCGAATGGAAAAAATGCTCGAGAATTTGTGGGAGAACTGTGGCTCCTGCTGCTAAGTGCACAAGGAAACATCGTGGGAATTCCTTCTGCTTTCCTAGAACTGAAGAAAGAAGAAATAAAACAAAGACAGACTGAACAAGAAAAATTCGCATCTATGAAAAAGCAAGACAAAGACAAAGATAAAAGGCATAGGGAAGAAAAAGAAAGCAGCAGAGAAAAAACAGAGAGGTCTCGTAGCCCAAGAAGATGCAAATCTCCTTCCCCTAGAAGACGATCTTCCCCTGTTAGAAGAGACAAAGCGCAGTCATCCTTGATCTCCCCGTCACAGAACCAAGAGCCAGAGTCCTTCTGCTCCAGAAAAGAAGGAAAAACCTCCAGAGCTCCTAGAACCTTCAGTGAAGGTAAAAGAACCTTCAGTAGAACAGGCCCCTTCTACTAGTGACATTCTGAAAGTTCCCAAACCTGAACCTGTACCAGAGCCTAAAGAACCTTCTCCGGAAAAAAAAAAAAAAAAAAAAAAATTCCAAAAAAGAAACGCAGAAGGAAAAGACCTGACCACGATCTCGGACACGCTCCAAATCAAGATCCCAGATGCGGTCCCACTCTCCTTCTCACACTCCACCTAGATGGCGCCATAGATCCTGATCAAGATTGTATTCACCTAGAAGGCGGCCAAGCCCAAGAAGGCAGCCATCTCCTTGAAGAAGAGCTCCACCAAGAAGAATGCCTCCTCCACCAAGGCATAGAAGGAGTAGATCTCCAGTAAGATGAAGAAGACGTTCGTCAGCATCCTTGTCTGGGAGTAGCTCATCATCCTCTTCATCTCATTCCCGGTCACCACCAAAGAAGCCTCCCAAGAGGACAGCCAGCCCCCCTTGAAAAATTTGTAGGTTATCTCCTTCAGCAAGTCGTCCAAGGCGAAGGCACAGGCCATCTCCTCCTGGAACTCCACCACCCAAAACTCGGCATTCCCCAACACCCCAGCAGTCAAACTGTTCAAGAAAAAGTCGTGTTTCCGTATCTCCAGGGAGAACTTCAGGTAGTGACAAAACATAAAGGTACTGAGAAAAGGGAATCCCCTTCACCAGCGCCGAAGCCTAGAAAGGTAGGGTTATCTGAATCAGAAGAAGATAAAGGTGGTAAAATGGCTGCAGTAGATTCTGTGCAGCAGAGACGCCCATACAGACGACAAAACCAGCAGTCTTCATCTGACTCTGGCTCCTCCTCCTCCAAAGAAGATGAAAGACCCAAGAGATCCCATGTGAAGAATGGTGAGGTTGGCAGGCGGCGGAGACATTCCCCTTCCCGGAGTGCCTCTCCATCACCACGAAAGCGCCAAAAAGAGACTTCCCCTCGTGGTAGATGGAGAAGAACTCCATCCCCACCACCCACCAGAAGGCGATGGTCTCCTTCTCCCGCCTCTCTTCCTCGATGGCGCAGTTCTCCAACACCACCACCACGAAAAAGAACTCCTCCCCCACATCGGTGCTCAGCCTTCTCTTAGAAGATACTCTCCTCCAACAGAGAGGAGATACTCTCCTTCTCCAACTCCAAAGAGAAGAATGGCTTCTCCTCCTCCCCTTCCTGAACAAAGAGCATCACCATCTTCACCACCAAAGCACTGGGTCTCCCATTCTCCACCTCCCAAACAAAGAAGCTCCTCAGTCACCAAGAGATGTTCACCTTCATTATCATCCAAGCACAGGAAGGGGTCTTCCCCAAGCCGCTCTACCCACCAGGCCCGATCACCACAATCAAACAAATGGCATTCGCCCTCACCACAGCCTCGAGCTCCTCAGACCTCCTCAAGTCTTCCACCCATTCGAAGAGGAGGGTCGTCATCACCCCAAAGAAGGCAGTCCCTGTCTCCAAATACTAGGCCCTTTAGGAGACTCTCCAGGACTCTGGAACCTAAAAAGATAAAAAAGCCTGCTTCACCAAGCCCACAGTCTATAAGGAGGGTCACATCCTCCTGATCTGTCTCCGGGTCTCCTGAGCCAGCAGCTTAAAAGCCCCCAGCACCTCCATCCCCCGTCTGGTCTCAGGCACCATCTACAAACTGGACACCAGCTGTACCGGTCAAAAAGGCCAAAAGCCCAACACCAAGAGCATCACCACCAAGAAATTCCAGTCAAGAAGGAGGTGGGAAGAAAAAGAAGGACAAGAAACACAAAAAGGATAAGAAGCACAAGAAGCACAAAAAACACAAGAAGGAAAAGGCTGTGGCTGCAACTGCTGCAGCTGCTGTGACCCCTGCAGTCATTGCAGCTGCCACAACCACATTAGCACAGGAAGAACCAGTGGCAGCGCCAGAGCCGAAGAAGGAGACTGAAAGTGAAGCTGAAGATAACCTTGATGACTTAGAAAAGCACCTGCGTTGGCCAGGCACGGTGGCTCACGCCTGTAATCCCAGCACTTTGGGAGGCCGAGGGGGGCGGATCACAAGGTCAGGAGAGCGACACCATCCTGGCTAACACGGTGAAACCCCGTTTCTACTAAAAATACAAATAAAATTAGCCAAGCGTGGCGGGGGGCACCTGTAGTCCCAGCTACTCGGGAGGCTGAGGCAGGAGAATGGCGTGAACCCGGGAGGCGGATGTTGCAGTAAGCCGAGATCGCGCCACTGGCCTCCAGCCTGGGGGACAGAGTGAGACTCCATCTCGGAAAAATCAAAAGAAAAAAGAAAAGCACCTGTGTGAAAAGGCCCTGAGATCAATGAGGAAGGCCCAAGTGTCCCCACAGTCTCAGGCGGAAATGTTTGTTATGATGTAAATTTTATTTGGTTTGTATGCAGTTCAATTTCAAAATTGCTAAAATGTGTTTGAGTTTTAGACTATAACATTTGTTGTAATAATTGCTAGGTTGAAGTTCACCATGTAAAACAAGGGGCATGGATTTACATTGCAAAAGTTGTCCATACTGTATTAGTGACATTCTTTCACTGACAGCTGACATAATTCATTTAGAGTGAAATATTTTAAGCCAAAAAAAAAAATCTCCTTTTTAAAAAGGGGGGTTTAAATACTATTAGCATTTTCATGGTTCCTTTAAATGCCCTGGCTATTCCCAGAGCGTTTTTTTGTTTGTTTGTTTGGTTGGTTGGTTGGTTTGTGGTTTTCTTTTTGTTTTTCTTTTTCTTTACATTTTTTTCATTTGAGTCTTAGCACCCATTTAACTTATGCTTCTGACGTTGTATGTTCTGTAAGCTTGCCCAGAAATAAGACCACTATTTTGAACTACCACAAAAGTATAAATGAATATCTTAATGCCATAATCTTTCCTGTTGCCTGTGGAGTTTCTGCTGAAATGAATCAGGATTCAAGCTCTAAGATGAGACAGAAAATGAAAGCATGCTGTTTGCCAGGACACTGTGGATTTATATTGATGTGTAACAAGTTGATCTGGAACACTGGACCCTCATTCTGTTCTTCTGGTTTTGTGTTTTTGTTTTGTTTTTTCTTTTGTAAAGGCAATGAGCCAGTCCCAGGAAGGATCTTTTAGTTACATACAATTTTGTTTAATGAAATGTCATGGCTCTGTTCATATTTTTCTCTTGTTCTTCCAATCAGTATATAAAATTTTCTGAGCTCTTGTATTTGGAAGGCTGGAAGGGCCCAGACTTTGGAACAGTGTCTTAGTTTCACTGTTTTTGTTTTGATTTTTTTTCCAGTTTTTTTTTTTTTTAATTAAAGCTATGTAAAGCTTGTGGATTAAACAGAATAAATTTCTAAATTAAAAAAAAAAAGTAAAATAACACTTCATACCCACTAGGTGGCTATAATAAAAAAAAGAAAGAAAGAAAAGAAAGGATAGTAACAAGTGTTGGTGAGGGTACGAAGAAACTGGAACCCTGATACATTACTGATAGGGATGTAAATGGTGCAGCCAGGTTTGAAAACAGTCTGACAGTTTCTCAAAATAATAAACATAAAGTTACCATATGACCCAGTGATTTCACTTATAGGTATACATGCAGTAGAATTGAAAGCAGATGTTCACTCAAAACATTGTACAAATATGTTTATAGGCTAGGCATGGTGGCTCACTCCTGTAATCCCAGCACTTTGGGAGGACAAGGTGGGCAGATCACGAGGTCAGGAGTTCAAGACCAGCCTGGCCAACATAGTGAAACCCTGTCCCTACTAAAAATACAAAAATTAGCCAGACATGGTGGCATGTGCCTATAGTCCCAGCTATTCAGGAAACTGAGGCAGGAGAATCACTTGAACCCAGGAAGCAGAGGTTGTGGTGAGCCGAGATTGCACCACTGCACTCCAGCCTAGGCAACAGAGCAAGACTCCGTCTCAAAAAAAAAAAAAAAAAAAAAAATGTTTATAGCAGTGTAATTCAAAATATCCAAAAGGTAAAAATAGTCCAGATGTCCATCAAACGAAAGGCGGTACATCCATACAAAGGAGTATTATTCAATCAGAAAAAGGAATGAAGTACTGATACATGATACAATATGAATGGACTTTGAAAACATTATCCTAAGTGAAAGAAGTCAGACACAAAATGTCACATGCTTCATGATTCATTTATATTAAGTGCCCAGAATAGGCAAGTCCATAGAGATAGAAAATAGATTAGTAAATTCACAGCCAAGGGGATGGGAGAACGGAGAGTGTCTGCTAATAAGAACAGGACTTCTTTTTTTATTTTTATTTCAAGTTCCAGGGTACATGTGCAGGTTTGTTACATGGTAAACATGTGCCATGGTGGTTTGATGCACCTATCAACCCATCACCTAGGTATTAAACTCAGCATGCATTAGCTATTTTTCCTAATGCTCTCTGTCCCCACAACCCACCTCCCAACAGGCCCCAGTGTGTGTTATTCCTTTCCCTGTGTCCATGTGTTCTCATGAAGAGGGTTTCTTTTGAGGGTCATGAAATGTTCTGGAATTAGGATAGTGGTGACAGTTTTATAACTTTGTGACTATACTAAAAACCACTGAATTGTAGGCTTTGAAAGGGTGAATTTTATGATATGTGAATTGTACATAAATGTTTTAGAAGAAAGAATAAAGGGTAATGGTAAAACTAAGAATGAATACAGTTTTTAGCCTATGTGACCAAAACAGTGGTGATAATATAAACAAAAATAAGAACTTCATGTGGGACAATTTGTTGGATAAATAGAAATAAATAAATTCCGTTCTAAAGACATAGTACTTGAAACTGACCGTGAAAATGGATGCCATCACTCAAGGAGAGAGCATGCAAAAATCAAGAAAAAGAGGAAGAGGAGAGAGGAAGAATGGGGAGTAAGAGAAGGAGAAAGAAAGGGAGAGAGAGGAAAGAGAAAAACCAAGAGGCGAGGATATAACTAGGAAGAAAGTCCACATTTGATAGTCAGAAGGATGACAGAAGGGAGTCAAGAGAAGGGAAAAAGAGGTGGAAGAACTAGAAGAGTACAATGACAAGAATAGTGAAAGGGAAGAACTTTTCATAAAGATGAGTGTAGCTAACCAGGCACGGTGGCTCACGCCTGTAATCCCAGCACTTTGGGAGGCCGAGGCAGGCAGATCACCTGAGGTCAGGATTCAAGATCAGCCTGACAAACATGGTGAAACCTCGTCTCTACTAAAAATACAAAATTAGCCGGGCGTGGTGATGCATGGCTGTAATCCCAGCTACTCAGGAGACTGAGGCAGGAGAATCTCTTGAACCTGAGAGGCAGAGGTTGCAGTGAGCCGAGATCCCACCATTGCACTTCAGCCTGGGCAACAAGAGCAAAACTCCATGTCAAAAGAAAAAAAAAAAATGAGTGTAGCTAATAGTCTGTCAAATGTTACAGACTGATCAAGGAGACTAGGAACGAATGCAATGA